ATTGGATACTATCTTGGTGCAATTCCAAGTACCCCAGAGTCATTAAAGAAGAGGCCATATCAGTGACTTTGCAACACCATGAACTTGCAGTCATTAAAATGGTCATTAGGTGGATATTTCAGTGTGAGATTGGGGACTTTAATTAAAGCCAAGGAGATGCTTTATTGTTTTTCCTCAAGTTTCACAATTAAGAAGGCATTACTTGGCTGCAAAAGCAATGTTCTTGCTGAGTTTGCACTTATCCTGAATGCCCGTGATTTAATTCAATATTTCCATCTCTCATTTACTCCCATTGAAATGATGCCATCATTATTCTCTTGCGTTTATTGTGCTATTTTGCAATGTTCCAAGCTTCCAATGGATTGTGCAGTAGCTTTATTTGATTTACATAATAAATGGTTAAAGTAAATTTATTAGCAAATACGTATTTGCGTGAAAGATTGATTGCCACCAAGGCTACAATGTCCAGACGAATGACCACTACATATATATGTACATTACATATATGTTTATCTGCAAAATGTTCACTTGAAGTAAAATATGATTTTTTTGCATAATAATAAGTTCATACAATTTTTTATTTATGCTCTCTAAATGTTACATTTAGATTTTAAATTCTGCATTTTTAATTCATCGATGAAGAACATTGTGCTTTAAGGAAACGTTTTATATATCATGTTGCTATCTAATTACAAATTCCTTTTGTAAACTCCTCTGGGAAAGCACAGTAAATTACCATTCAACTTTTTAAAACATTCAATTTGAAGTGGTAGAGAAAATTGTAAAATACTGGAGATGAATGAAATGAGTGAACTGCAGATGCAAATTATTTTCTTTAACCATTACTGGCTTTAATGTGATTTAATGCTTGTCTTATACAGTGTAAATATTTCTGTTCTATTGTATGTTGCTTTTAATAACACGAACTTTTTGCAATTCACCCCTTGTTTTGGGGTCGTCCCCGGGGGAGAAAAGGGTAAATTTTATGATTTTGTACAATGCAGATAGAATAATTTTTACTTGAGAAGAAAAAAGGCCATACAAATTACCATCATATATACAATCATAAACATTTAATTAAAATTTTATACACATAAAGTTAATGGATTCTGTGCTCTGCGGCACTAAATATAAAACACATTAGAAGAGAATATACATTTTTGAGGACACTGGTTCCATAGTAAAGTAGTGAGCTTTTACTTTTCATTCCTTTGCTCTTCGCCACTTTTTCTGCACTCTCAACTTTTCTACATGCACGCGAATCTATGTATTTTCCAGTGGAAGTGAAGTGCGAAATTGGAAAAGCACTTCCGTGTGCTTTTGCGCCATTCCGCTGAAGTTCCCGGTGGCAATAAAAATGTAATGTTTTAAAGTTTTTACACACTCGGCGAGCAAAAGATTTGTGTGTGTGTGTGGTGTTGGACGGTGGGTAAAAAGTGCCTTCTGCAAATTAATGCCAACAGTTGAAGAGGAGTGCTTTGAAAGAGAAATTTGAGCTGCTATTAACATTTTCAGTAAATTTATCATTTGCCTGAGCTGAATGTGCTCTGTTGCTCATCCAGGCTTGAATTATTTGCCCTTTTCCAAAGCCATTCCACTGTTAAAACGAAGCCCTGGAGGATGGGAAAAATTCAGGGTGTTTGATTGTTTCACATTTTACGCTTAATTAGAGGCCATAATAGGTCTTTTGCAGAATCATCTGGTGTTTCATTGCATCTGTGCATCCGATTCACTTCATTAACTTTATACCCATACATTTGTGGAACATTTTCAGACCGAGAGGATGTGCTTCGCCGACTTTACCAATTGTTGACATACTGTATGCAGGGCTGAGCAGTTACAAAAGCTATAAAATATCGGAATTTTAAGTTTTAGCCAAAAAGTTTCTCATAGCTTCATATGGTTGCAAAATATAGTTTTAAGCTCTATGAAGCCTAACATATTCATGGGATATTTTGTAGACAATACGTTCACCAACCATCAAGCATAATGTAGATTATTTCGGTCTTTTGGGCCTATTTGCAGAAGTAATTGTAGTTAGTCACGGGCAGTAGAATTTCTTGGTGGCAGATTTAATTAATTCCATTGAAAATGGTCTTCACAATCAAAACTACACTCCGTGGACAGACTCATACCGAATATGCATAGAATGTGGATTTTCTTGGGTGAGATAATTCAATGAGAGACACTTTATGATGGAAATTTGAGATAAGGGAATTTCCATTTTTGCTTTAATCATGGACTTCATCTTTTACCGTCAAACGTATAAAGTGGGAAAAATTGTACCCTGTGGAAAACTCATTTAGAGAGTGTGAATGAATTAGGAAAAGAAATGTGGGAGCTTTTGCAAGATTTTAGCTTTTAAATTAACTACAGCGAACTTGAGTTTGCATTTCAATTATCACTCCACGAGACGTTCTCCAAGTCATCTCTATTCAGAGCACACGGAAGCTTTTTTTTAGCTTTTCACGGTAAAGTCTTCTAGCCTTTGCAAAAATATATGAATCTTTTCATTGAATATGAACGCAGAGAATAAAAATCATTAATATTTATACAGACTCGCGCCTCTGATGAAAGCAAAATAAAACTTTTGTGCAGCTCAAGGCAAATTTCAATTTAAAAGTTTAATCTATACGCTCATCTATTAATTTAAAAAGAAACAAAATTACTCGGAACTATTTCGCAACATTACGACAATATTCTCTCTTGTCATAGACACAACTTCGTATCTCATCAACTCGATATAGGCAAGGCATGTCTGTTGCACCAACATGGACTTCCTTCGTGCCTGTGGCATAAGTAAAAGACTATCCCATTTACATTGGAAGCACCAGGCTCGAAACTGACAACTTTGTTAGAAATTAATCTCTACATAATGAAGCAGAAATTGAAAATCTCAACTCTCAAGCTCTTTTTCACTCTCCTGTTACTCTGACATGATGAGTTTCCAGGGACTTTTTTCTCAACGTCCCTTCCATATAACCTCTGCACAAGTCCGCAGACTTTTCACAGTAGATTTATCATCCTGAGTGAACGTTGAGATGGTTGAGAAGCTCATAGAATGTGTGATTTTCAAGTGAGAGCAATGGAAATGCAGTCATAACAGGGAAATATTTTGACAATTTTTGATATCAGATCTTTTTTTTAAATTTCGAAAGTAGGTGTACAAAATGTTGAAAATACACTTTTTGTGCAAGTGGATTATCATGCTTTAGCATAGGTGAAGGTATGCCCGAAACGTGGCAAGATATGACTGCGATAGAGCCAGCGTATAAAGTGGAAATTTTAATTTCATGCAAACTTTCTATCCAATATCCAGTTAAGACACTATCTGATGCACATATATTCCCGCCAGAATATAAATCCTCTCCCCTCAACCTATTTTGGATGTTACCGGCATTGGTTTGATGCTATTTAGTACACCATCCTCTCTCACCAGTGGAATATTTCTAATCGGTACTCCGTGAAACTATCATTGTGCGCCACACGAATCTTTCCAATTTCAGCTCAACCACCCATCCCATCTGCTCGCCTCTTTTATTTTCGCACAGCCCTTTTGTTTATATATCCGATGTCGATGCGACGATAATAAAATACATGCTTCGGCGGCCAGTATGAAGTGGCTGCTTCACGGCAAAAAAAAGTCGTATAATGCAGAAAGAACTAATCGTGTATCGATTCGCCATCATTGTGCCACCACATCAAGTGTCATTGATGGATAGTGGCGCACGAATGTGGAAAATGTACAAACCAAACGACACTTTCGACATCCTTTCTGGGGACCAGAGATGCGAAGGACAAAAAAGAGTAATGGACTGGTAAATGCAATGTTCTACTTGGATAGTTTATCGGACTTCAATTTTCAAACTAGCTGTTTGTATATTTTTCTCGTTCATTTGTAGTGTGTACATATAGATCATTGAAACGGTGTGGTACACACATCTCTGTTGGGAGAGCATTTCGCATTGTGTACTCTCAATTAAGTTGCCAATTGAAGGGAAGCCCAGAAAACATTGCACTTTCATACCTCACCGTTTTGCTTCCATCCGGGCTGTGTGACAATTATATAGGTTACGTAAGGCAGTCAAAGAAATGCATAATAATACAATACACCTATAACTTCCTCCAATACTTAATGCTTGGCGGATAAAAGGGACAAAGAAATAGTGGAGTTTCATAAAGTAATGTTGTAAATCAAGAATGCAATACAAATTATTGTATTGTTAATTACGAAATGGTTCAATACAAAATCATTATCTATCATTTTTGTTTCACTAGCATGATATCTTAAGTTATGGAGCTAAAGCTATATAATCATCCACTCTATTTGTCTATCGTTTGCATGGAATACATAAGCAGTGAGTGTCACAGAGCAGTTGTCAATAATTCAGTCAATTTCACGCGACGCACTCAAAATTACTTGTACATCGTGCGTAAATAATGCCTTGAATTGAATTCGTGTTCCATTCAAATTTGACCCTAATATTATTGTGTAATACAAAAACAGTCTGATTTGAATTGTCAAAAGCATGGTAAAATGTTTATTTCTGAAAGCTATTTGCAGACGTTTTAATCTAAACGAAATTTTCTCTTTTCCCATGAGATTCAATCTTATCGCATTCATGCATCAAGGAAGAAAATAAAGAGCACCAAATTGACTCAAGATTGAATGAAAAATAATATTTATCAATTAGGCCAAGACGAAGAAGCAGAACGAAAACAATTTTACGCTTTCCTCTCGTCTCTTTTCAGATCAAAAGATTAAACTGCAAGTACGCTAAACGAAAGAAGCTTTCAACAGGACTCCAAGAAAACTGTTCTTCAGTCAATGACACTACGTGAGTATTTTTCAATCTTGCTCTCTCCCTTTCTCTCTCTCTCTCTCTCTCTCTCTGTCTCCCCCGGGGCGGAAAAATCACTGAAGATCGACTTGAGATACACATGAGTGAGAGGAAGAGATGCATTTGAGGTGTAATGAGTCCATTTCATTTACATCCAGCATGACTACGGGAGTTGTGACGACTCTCAATAATGCAGTCAGCTGTAAAGAATATCCCCCAGAAAGCCCTCAATCACACCCCAGTGGAAAATGTCTCGAATAGAAAAAGCTCGTAGCGTGATTTCCTGAGGGAGCAATAAAATTTCCCTTTCAGTGTCTCTTCTCACACCCCCTCACGAACGAACATCCCCCAGCATCGTAAATTTACTCCCATCAATAATGGGTGGATATACACCACAAAACACATTCTGATAGAGAGAATAGCATGTATATATACACACATGATTTGGAGTATTTTCTATAAATATTAAAGTCTGCAGATTCATTCATGTGAGCATACAAATAACGTGGAAATTGCATTAGACAGCTTAAGCTCGATAGATGGAAAAGTCAAATGTGAAAATTCAATACAAGCTTTCAGCTTTTCATGTGCGTTTTTCTCCCTAACAGTTGAGATGAAGTTTCAATAGACTGCCGTAGAAATGAAAGCAAAATTGTAAAAATATCTGGAAACTATGCAAAATATAATTGGATTGTCGATGTAAAAAAATAAAAGCAGAAAGCTCTTTCTGCCTCTCTTTATTAGCGCTCCCTGCATTTTATATTATCCCATCAAACATTTATATATTCATAAAATCTCTACATATTTCTGCCATGTCAGATTTTTTTTTATTCAATATTTAACTGGAATTCGTCTGAGCGCCTTTATGTAAATAGAACGTAGATGAATTAAAAGTTATTTCGATGACGAATAGGATTAAGCACTAATGCTTCAACCCACAGTGAAAGGCTGAAGTTTGCTGTTTATAAGCCTCTACTCATTAAATATCTTTTCTATTCAATTGAGTGGTTGGAGAAGGAACAATATATGATATATCGATAGATAAATTGATTTGGTTATTGTAGTGCAACTAATAGAGATTCCTTCCCGAAGATTATCTTCATATTATTGTAGACATTGTTGTCCTTTTCGAAAATGAGCTATAATTAATTTACATTCATCGGTGGTTTATTTCTATAGGTATTATGGTTGAGCATTAAATTAAGCAACACAAGGCCATATAGAGTGCCAAACAGTGCTTTCTGATTTAATAGAAGGCACTCGAGTAATCTAGGGGACTTTAAATAGCCCTTCGATGGTGACATTCGTGCAAAAAGCATTCAACATGTGAGAGTGATAAGACTGGTGGGTGGTTTTCCTCTTGAATCGGCCATTCAGCATTCATCAAGCGGAGACCCTCAAATTGGCGTGACAAAAAAGCGTTGTGCCGACACTGTAAAAAGACACTCGGTGTTTATGTGTGCTCCCCTTCTGTGGCTAAATACCCACCTTTTTTGCCCGCAATAAAACACACGGCCATCCCACTTGAATTTTAATTTTCAGGCACACAGTATGAGCTTTCTCGGGGAGCTCAGACGTCTTTATCCCTTAGCACTACAGTCTCAGTGGAGAGACAGGGGTGATGTCATATAGAAAATCTCTGTCATTTATACATGAGCCAAGTCATATAGCACATTTGCATATGAACACCGCATGTGATGCGACATAAAGTTATGAATGCATCAAATTACTTTTCATGGAAACAATAGGGCTCTCTGCATTGCTTTGACGTGAAAGGCATCAAGCACGGGAAAACTTTTCACTGTCACCTCCGTTTTTCCCACTTTTAGAGCAGGAGTTTTTTGTGTGTCTATGCATTGACTATTCCAAAGTGGCAAGCTTATAAAATCAACCACAAATGATATCCTACTATGAAATATGCAGGATATTTCATGAATTTTTCAATTACATACAATTCAGATGACAACTTTTGATTTGATTCACATTTAATTAATATTCATGAAGTGCGCACCTTATTGGTGTCTTGAGACGTCAGTTTTCTGAGTTGGAGAACACATTCTTAAGAAGTGCTATTTGAGAAGAATTCAAGAATTTTTTCCAACGAAAAAAAGGTTATAATTGAAAATTCATATCTGCCCCAATCTAAAAATGAAGTGCCCCCAGGCATTGCAGACAGAGCATTTTTATTGAAAAGTTGGAAATAAAGTCCTATTTTTGCTTAGTTGCCTACATTGGACTGGATATTACATTTTTTTCCCGTATCTTATATTGTATATTATGCTATACTGAGTATTAATGTAGAGAAAAAGTGGAAATAAGGTTCTTTCACGAAAATCGATCAGTTGATTTAGAGTCACATGGAGATTTTTAAGTTTCATTGGGAAAGACTACAATCTTAAAGGAAAAATGTAAAATTTCGCAATAATCTTGCTAAACATTTCGAGAATGTTGTTTATATTCCAATTGTAGGAGACATATTTTGATCAATTTCTTTCTTTCTTGTATGTTCTTTGACATTACCGAGATATTTCTCTGTACATAAAGCGAAAAATGATTGGAAAATCGTAACAAATTTGTGTTTGTGAAGAAATCTACAGACAAGATTTATTGGTGGATTCTTTAGATTGTGAATAATGCATGCCATGGGAATCAATCAATAAGATGGACTTTTTTCTCCTCCACCAAATTCTCATATCTCCAAGAAGAGGATTCTTTTATAAATGTCTTTGGATAGACTGAGTATTTTATTCAGAAGATGAAATATTGCAAATAACCCAACTATCGGTGATACTCAATTTCGAATGGGAAGAGGCTTTTTATACTTTTTCCTCTCCCTCTCTCTCTCTCTTCTCGGTTGGCAAAACTCTTCGGGGAGTGATGGGTGGAAAACTCCCTGAAAATTGAGTTATACTCCTCATTTTACGAGATACTCCAACACTTCACTGAAGTGGACAATTTGAGGAAATTCCAGAAAACTTTCCAATTCAATTGATTGTCCCTCAAAATATATGGGCGACTCTTCGTTCCCATTTTCGAACTAATAATTTTGTAATATTGTGAAATGTGTTGCAAAATGTGTATGATGAATTCAATATCTTATCAGAGCAAATTCAGAGGACGAGGCAGGACAATTTTATCAGTAAAATAACTTTTTTCATGACCATGCTTGTGTTTTCAGCTATTTTCTCCTTGTTGTTTTTTTCCTGATCTTTGATATTTTATGCCCCATTCTGTATACATATGTAAGGAGCTTTGGGGAATGTAACTAAGCACAATATTTACCGTGTGTGGAAGAAATGAGTGAACAATTTTAAATCGAGGTCCAGTTTTATTATTCATAATAGTCTTTAAAGCGGATAAAGCTGAATATTGCACGAATGAATACGGTGTAATAATGTTGTCATGTTGCAGCGGTATTTGTTATGTTAGTTATTCTCCCCCTCACTGAAACCATGGGCCCTTTTCCACTGTTTCAAACGCTATATAGGCTGGAGAAAGACATTTTCTGTCTCTAAATGGGCGACAAAAAGGCGCTGAATTTTATATGTTGCGAGAAAAAAATGTATCCTGTCAAAACTTATTTTCTCAAAAGGCAAAATTTCACTGACGTAACATAAATATGCATGGAGGGTGTTTTACACTTCGCTTTGATAATTCATACACACTAAATTTTTCCACATGAATGTGTACTGGGGGGTCCCTTCTGTTGGTTTTTTTTTCACCCTCGCCGGAAAACCTCTCCCACTTACCAACTTTCTCCGCACTTCTTTTTTCTCTATTCCATGAACCATCTCACCAAATGGGACGAATTGTTTCATCTCGTGGCGGTGTCTGTGTCGTTGCTCGACCTTTAAATAAATTTCCTTGCAATCCTTGCCTAAAGCTCTCGGAGACAAAAGGTCCCTTTCATTTTGAGGAAGGAAAAATAAAATTGTTATCAAGTATCTGGTAGCATATTTTATCTTTTCGCCTCTTGTGTGAAAGCAACTACCCCCGAATTGTGACCATTCAGGGGGGTGAAGAGCAAAAAATGCTACTGTCTTGTGCTCAACTCCCCCACATTTTTTTCATCCACTCCACACGAAGTACATATGCATTTTGAAGCACCCCACAAACATCCCAGTCGGGAAAATATGGGCCCTGAGCTGTGCGGGAAAAACACATCAAGCGGTCATTGCCCAGCTGCTTTCGACACTGTGGCCCAACATGCACGATTCCCCGGTCATAAGGGTGGGGTCTTCCCTTTTTTCACATGAGCACCACACATGTACCAATCCATAGTAATACACAATCAGAACAGATCAGAACAATGTGAGATTCTCTAATTCTGATTGGAATGTTCGGGTGAAATTATATATCACAAAATGTAACTTTCTAACAGCTTCATAATTTATCAAATATGATAGCATTTATCATTATTATCATCTATTCGTTCTGCCACTCTGTGTCCTTTCATCACGAGTAAATAATACGTATACTGTGATATAATAGGTGCAATGTATCTCTGGTATTAAATAAATAATTGAATCGATAATTCATTATGTCTATTATGTCTTTAGCATAAGAGGGAAAAAGTTTATGTTGGCGTTAATGAGCGTGGAGGCAGAAGTATGACGTTCATCTTCACATTTCAGTGAGGACTTTCTGGAGAGGTCCTTGATTAATTGCGATGATAAATAAAATCACTTGGGAGACGCTCGACACTGAATATGATGACTGAGAATTCTCAAAATTGATAAATTCCTCTTTTGAATCCAGAAATTTAATTAACAACAATGTATTGTCATCATTAAATTGGATTAATGAGCGCCGGAGCTAGATTGAAAAGTTTCCATTTTGTCACCACGTTGGATATTTGTGGGTAAGAGACTTTTGATTAGTTGTTGGTTATCAGCATACTGTTGGGCTGATACTGGTCGTTGGCGATAAATCATAAATCGACGCGGTGTACAATAAGACGAGTCATGCGGCATCTTCGTCTATCGTCACGGAGACGCGCTATGAATAATTAATGGTGAAATTTGGAAGCGGGCGCCATGGGTATTGGGAGAGACAATCGACCAAAATTCACTTTTCGGGGGAACCAATTCTGTGTGGAGCGACGCGAAAAAATCGGCCAATGTCGCTGCCATAAGTGTGTGGCGAAGCCTTGCATTGGTGGCACCCATTGAATGCCAATCGCATGGGAATTGGTCGCTATATAAACAATTGATTTTCTGCTGATCGCTATCAGTTCCTCCAATTGTGTCCCATCAACCGTAGCCGCCACCGTGAAGATGAATGGATTCAGTGTCTTAGTTCTTGTGCTCATTGTGGGTGCAGTGTGGGCAGAACCGCCAAGATTTCGTCGAGTGCAGCGCTTCCGCAGTGGAAACTCCCAATTCGCTCGGCAGGAAGTCGAGAGCACCACAAATGCTGAAGATGCTACAGAGACAGCAGATGCTGGAGCTCCATATCCCGCCGCAGGAGCTCCATACGCGCCTTCTGGCTGGAAACCCTCGGGACGCCTTCTGACGCTGCCCACGGAGCGACAGCAGCAGCCACCGGCGACATCCTATGGCACGCCAGACAGTGCATATGGGCCACCTCAGGAGGCAACCACTCCAAATGACGACGTGGACGAGGACACTCCGACGCCCAACCCCGAGACTGAGAACTTAAGCGAAGTGGAGCAAGTGGGAGTCCGCGGCCAACCCAACAATGGTTACTATTTTGTGCAGCTCGCCGTGCCTCAGTCTGTGGCTCCGGCTAGTCTGAGGGTCCGTCCAGTGGCTCTCACCGAACAAGTGTACCTCACTAACCCCGTAGTAGTGCCATCTAGGTACGTGTCCTACAATTCCGCCTTTACCCAGACGTGGTAGAGAGCGTCAATTCCAATCGGATTGATCAATCGCTTGCGAGTAACTGAATGAATGACAAGATAATACTCATTGGACTAATAAATGCTATTGTGAACGTTGTGAATTAAATTATTTTGGACCCCGACTCTCTCTCTGTGTTTCCATAAGAAGACTTGTAACTTAGGAGTTTATCCTCAAGTGTTTCACATTGTTGCAAAGAAGAAAAAAAAAACATTCACAATCTAAACAATTTTCTTGTTGTTAATTTCGTATCTAAATTCTTTTATAAACCTTGTATTCGACTTGATTATTTATTGCATTTCACATGAATTAAAGTATACTCTTTCTTCCTGTTGTTCTCACTATCTTCCAGTTGGTGCTTTTTCAAGAGAGTGAATAATTGCTGTGCTCTGTATGATTTTATATTAAAAAGTCCTGTTGAATAAGCAATTCTGTTGTCCGGTTGCCCAGTTTAAAGCGCAATAATAAGGATTATTTATAAAATATAATTGCATTTCCCATAGTCGCATTGCGATGAAATTTATTATTCAACACCGGCAGGAGGTGACCATAAATGTTGGAGAATCGCTGGATGTACGATTTTCCAAAAAGAGCAATTCTTCGTTTTGTAATCCGCGGGATTCAGTCCCTACTTTGGCCACGCCGTAAAACCCGCATATGTATTTTGTAGCGCTGTATTTGTCCCTCTTGTTTTATGCATATAGTTGTTTGTATGAATATCAACATGGGTTTACTTGTGGGTTTATGCTTAGTCTTGTGTCTCATTAAAAATTGCCCGGAGCCAGCAGTTTGCCGAATTGTCATTTTCGTTCCCATAGTGAGGGAATATTCTCTGGGTGTGAAAATGAAACGTCAACAGCAATAGCATGAAATAGTGAGAAAATGAAATTTTTGCGGTTGACACCTATGAAGAGGGTGCCTTGTTAAATAATTCATAAAGAGAGTGTTGCATAGTCTCAGTGCAGAGCATAGATTACCAGCAATTTATGCAGATACTCAGTTCGGACAACAAATAAGATTATGGACTTTGTTTGAGTATTGAGCAACAGTCGCAATTTCTCCATTACATTTCATTACACAATTTGCAGGCGTTGGTAAGTTATGACCTACAATATTTGCCACAACGTTGCATCGCAATGGAGTCTATAAGTCCGGGTGGATTATGGCGCTCACTCGCATAATCTCTCAAAGACTCTGGTGAATAATAGTTGTTTGCCGGCGTGGAGTATCGATTCCCACCTACGCTAAGGGCATTAATTCATTCGAGATATTTGCATATAAAGTGCAAAACTCCTCAGCAATGGATGCCACTTTATGAGGATGGACGAAAAATAACTTGGAAATTAATTAAGTTTCAATGTGAAATAAATTAATATTGAAAGCATGAAAGAGTATCCCATAAAGTGGCTCAATATCGAAGTTTGTCTGCAAGAAATTTCTCTGCGGCATACTAAAATGTATGGCCTCTATTTAAATACTTAAAAAGTTTTTCTTTTTTGCCGACAGACTCAAGAGCAAAGTCCCATCTGTTTCACTCTGCGAATCTCCTGTAAAGTCCCACCAACCAGTACATGATGGAATTTTATAAATTGTCTGCGTGCTGTGTATACAGGCGTAATGCCTCGATTGGGATAAGTCTTTATTTGCAGAGAGGAGACAAAAGTTTGCCATTTTTTGCCAAACAATATCACCTATCTGGTCTCCGGAGATTGGCATGCGCCTCGTTGACTGGAAAGTCGCAGGAGATCCATAAATAGGGAAATATTTGTGGTACGCGCGAGGAAGTTGAGTTAGTGTAATGAAAGTCCATCAGTGTAATAGGAAAATTAGATAATTTCTAAAACACCTTCTTGGTCTCTATAGAACGTAAGATATTACGCAAGAAATTTAAATATTTTGGATCAAACCATTCTATGGAAAATTGTTCTTTTCCAATTATACGGCTTCTGAATGTCTTTAACGCCCACTTTTTCTCTGGTATCATGACCTTTAGTCTTTGGAAATGTAATAATATCTTTGACAATGTCATAAAGACTAATGAATTTTTCACGGAATCATTTCGCATGGCCTTTACAGGAAAATCAGAAAAAATGAGCCCGTGAAGTGCTTATGTAAGGATATCTGTAATGATGATGAGGGGTGTCAGTTAATGTAAATTAATTAAAAATTAAAATATAAGGAACATGATCCTGTGGCGGAATTTTGTACCCTAAAAGCGAGTGGCGAGAAAAAAAATATAGGCGCTCGATGACTTGAATATTTGCCCTACAAGTTCGGCATTAGCATACAAGTATAATGAGAAATGGAGAAAAGGAAGGAGAAAATGTTTCGTGGATGTTAGAGCATTTAGGAAAAGTTGGCGGCAAAATTAAAATTCATGAGATTTTGATCTATTTAAAATTGATTGTTGAAAGTCAGAAAGTTGGAAAATTAATTTTAATTTAGCTTGGGAGCAAATACTAAGAGGAACTTTACACATTGCAACTTGCCATTGACCATCGCTCCTTAAATGTCGATCTCATAAATATTTATGATTAAGTTGTGCTCTTGCGGTATTGTAATTTTCAATGCCACGACTACGTGCTGAATAAATATTAGCACAATATAGCCAAAATTTCTAATTTAGGATTGCAAATTGCGTTATGTAATGCATTTGCCGAAGCACAAATAATTGAATGTGTTACTGCATGAAACATTAATTTACGGGCTGCCTTAAATTGTCATTATGCTCAATCAGACACCGATTATACGTTGTGCACTAATGCGGTGGATGGACGAACAATTAAATTTTCAATTTGTAGCCGGATTGTTACCTCAGAACAGCAATTATATCGCCATACAATAAATTTCCTCTTGCAAAACGTCCGATATATTGTTGCAATATTTCCCATACTTGCTCGCGGTTTGTCATCAGCCAGGGTGAATCTGTGCTGTGGGTAGAGATGACCGTGGATAGGATGAAAATCTAGTTTCAGAAATTTGAAAACAACACTTCACACCATACTTCCAGAGATTTGAATTTCACCGAAGGGTATTATTTGTTGGAAAACGGAACGTATCTGTATGATATGAGATATCAGAAAAGTATCTGTGAAGAGTGGAGTTATTTCGAATCAAAATTGGAGCTAATACTTTAGAGATTGTTTCTAGAAGAGGATTTAGTCAATTTTTAACAGATTTTTGACAGAATTTAAGCTCTCCTGGATTTTGGGGGCTGAATCCATTTCGATGCTTCGCATTTTCTCTCATAAAGTTGTGCCAGAAGCTTTTCACTTGGCTTTTCAGAGAGGATAATTTAGAGAACAATAGTTTCCCTTTTCTCGCTCTGTTTCGTATTATTTCTTCGCAGCAGACTATATTTCCCGAAATCTGACACTCTTCCCCAGGAGGAAAAGTGTATTCAAGGACTATTAGTGGGATAGTGAGCAGTTAGTTGATTTTTTATTTGCTGGAAGAAAACTTTCAGACATAAACTAGCTGCTCCGTGAGATACTTTATTACCCTTGCTTGGTGTTGTTGAAAACTTTATATGACTCTATATTTATCCGCCGCAATGTTTTGCGAACAAAAATATTTTTATGATGATCTATAAGCAAAATTTGTGAAATTGTTTAACTTTTACTGTCTGAAATCTCGACAAAATAGCACAGAAATTGTGTTTGGGGTTGCTTTTCATCTGTGTTGAAATTTCTTTGAGGAATAATGCAATATATTTTTCAGCAATCTCTTAGATAATTTTAGGTGATTTTCACAAATGAAACATAATGTGTCAACTGAGGAATTTATGTATAAGAATGGCTTTAAAATTCTTTGGCGACTGTAAAGAAGAAGTGTATTGGAATTCTGCAAATGGAAATATTCTTAACGATTTCGTGAATTTGCATGACAATGCCGCTAAAGTAACACATTTTATTAAATTTAGAAGTTGAAAAGGAAATATGTATACGTCAACAATATGAAATCATTTAGGGGGTTTTCAACATAAATGTATTCATGTAAATCACTTCTGTATACAGCGAAGGATAGAGCGAAAATTGTCTACATTTTCCGGCGATGAAAAAGAAATATATTGACTTTTTCATCGTACAATTTATACCCCATTTAATTTTACATGGCGAACCTCTCTTGTGGTCAAGGGTACGATGGAACTTTCCAAATGTTGGCCGTGGTGTGAAGTAACTTTTTGAGGCAAAGGGAGTGAAAAATTTTTAGTCAATGTACCACAGAGCATATGAGACCTTTGACTTTGGGCGTGTGGACAAGAAAAGGTGCCTTTGACCAATGATATATGTATGTGTACACGCAAGTTGAAAATTCTCCGCAGCGAATTGGCAGAGCAAATTTGAAAAGTTACCCAGGAAATCGAGTTTGTGAAAATGTCATAGCAAAGTTTTTCCTTAATAGCACAACACTATGGTCATAATACGTTGTCACCTTCCTCCTATCGCCTCTCACTGTCACCTTCTTTCGCCACCATTCCTCGAAAGATGTGTTATTTATAGCTACCGCACATATTTATTCTTGTCAAGCTCCTGACAAACTTCCTGGACTTGGGAAGTGCGGAAACATGAAGTGAGACGTATTCATTTACAATCTGACTAAAATATGAAAACAATGGGGGAAATTGCATTTTCCCGTCTTTTTATTTGCATATCAAAAGGTTAGTTTTTGAAGAAAAGCGACATGCTTTAAATTTCATACAATATGCTTTTTGCCATTTGAGTTTCCACTTGAAATATTTTGTGCATATTTTATGTGAAAAATCTAACAATATAAGATGAGAGTTTTGCTTTGTTTTCTGTCCAAAACATTTTATAGACTCTACTGATATTACTTTAATGCCAACAACTTTATCCAATTTGACTACGAACTGCAAAATATTGACTTTATCCTCCCTCTTCGATACAATTTCCATATTCTCAGTATAATGACGCATATTATAGCTTATCAAAGCTGTCTAATGAAGCATTTGACTTGGAAAAGAATACAGGTTCATCAGAAATTCTTAATTTGATACAATCTCTCGTTCTATCATTCGTGATTTCTCAGAAAAACATTTTTTGACGTCTCTGAAGCACTCTCACAGTCATATTTCTCAGAATCATATTCTTCCTTTG